GATCTGAGGGGGAGTCACCGCAGTAGACGTTAGATGAGCGCTGTCCGCTCCGCGGCACTTGTTGATTTATGCCAACTATAAATAGGCCTACCTCGCACGCTGCCTGAGCGGGGTGTGGCGGCTGGCTGATAGCACAGCATGGGCTAAAACAAGTTCGGGATTATCTATTCCCTGCACCTAGTTCAGTATGCACGCCATCTATCGAAGACAGAGTTGAGAGAATGGTGCCTGGCAGGATAGGGTGAAATGTATATAATTTATTGCGCTCAAAGGTGCAGAAAGACCATTACTTTCTTAACTTCAGTTTAACCAATCTTGCAGATAAGTAATTGCAGAAATGAATTCATGAAACCTACTAATGAAAATTTGCCAGTTTTGTACTGTCCTTGGCAATGGCTCTTCTCATCGCGAGTTACAGTTGTGCAATGCTGGCGGATATGGTGCGCAGCATGCTGCTTTGTGGACACTGCAGAGCCCTATGGTTGACTGTCAGTCGAAATGTGTTGATCCTCCCCAAACATTGAAAGAAATCTGGTACCTTATACGTGCGCTCTGCCTTACCTCTTGCCCGCCATCTTCGTCAAAAGTTTGGACGGCCGTTGCGGCGAAATGGGAATGTACATTTCAATTAGATGACGTAACTGAATACAGTAGTGCGCCGCCGTCCTGAGAGGAGGGGAGGGCCGAAACTAGGGGTCCGGGGCCTGCGGCTCGAATAGGAATTCTTTGCCGAGGTGGCCTCTCAGATTGCCCAGTACAGCCAGCTATGGCAATTGCAGCAGCGTCGGAAAGCTTATTACACTCAGCCTGCTTCCTCATGTAGTTGGACTATGCGCCATGCTGTGGAACTCCTTCAAAGAGCTCGCTCCTGGATTGCTTAGCAGTGAGGGTGACCAGCAATCACCAGCGAAGCACACAAGTGTTGCTCTTGGTTTACTGCCTCGCCAAAATGGCGCATCAAACAAACGATCGATTCGCCGCGTTGTCAAAGTTTTATTGTTGTGGAATTTATCGGGGCGCGAGGTAATTAAACGTGGCGCAACGATTGAAATGGCGGGGGGAGATTTTTCCCAAATTGGCGTGGGCCGCCCGGTTGCGCAACGGTAGGATGAGGCCTGAGGGGGGGGGGCCGGGCGGGGGGGGTGATGAGCCAGACGCCTCTCGGCTCTTGTTAGGAAACTCATGATTTATTTTTGACCATATTGATGTATGGACAGTGGGTATGCTAACTTTATCTGAATCGTGTGTTAATCTATAGCTATGTGATTAAGAGCGAATTAAGCTACATAGTACATAATGCTACATCACAAACCTAAAACGTTCTCATAAATTGCAGCATTCTTTGAATTCCAGAACTAAGCTTCAATTTTACTGTGATTTTATTATAAATTTTTATTTTGTGCAGGTGTGTATAAGGAACACTCCCCTAGCATTAGCTGAGTGTATGTCCTAAGTCTGTTTGTTAATTATTATCCTCTCTTTTATTTCTCTTCTTTCTCTCTCTTTCTTTTTCCTCTCTCACATTCTCTCTCTCTTTCTCCTCGGCTCTTCCTATCTCTCTCTTGCTCTCTCTCTCTCGCTCTGCTCTCTCTCTTCTTCTCTCTCTCTCGTGTATACATAACTGTAGTTCCAGTAGTCGCGCTAGTAACTATGGCGTCCAACTAATCTGAACTCTTAGCATTTATTTTGGAAGGCTATATAGGCATCGACCTACAAGAGAGGTGCAAAGGAGCAAGAGAGGGACAGGTGATTGTGACAAATTAGAGGTTATGCCCCGGATAATAAACGGCACATTTGTATTAACAAACCATTTGCATGGACAATTATGAACGATGGGTGTCTTTATGTTTATTTTGGCAGGCCTGTAAACGGAACACGTGTAAATGGTACTCGATGCACTGAATCTAATGCAGAAAGGTTTTTAAGACTAGAGTATTACATGTGAAATAACTAGATAATACACATCTCACGGCTCAAACATGTGTGGGATGAGCGGGTAACCTTCTGTGATAAGATTTGCCTCGTTATTCAGGTACTGTTGGTAAATATTTTCCGATCAGGGCTAGAAATATAACTTTGAACACCGGGAGAGTCCAAACGGAACTCCCTACCTCAAAAAGAGGAGATGTCCGCCGCAAAATGAGGGAGTCCGCAGTCTGCAGGTTTTAAAATTTAAAAGGCTATTAACAAAACGCCATAGATGTGCTTATTTTTTAAGCATGTCATGCATCTTGCCAAAATTTTCTTTGGCAATATACCTGCAAAAATTATTGGTAGATTCTGTTGTGAGGCCGCTGCTCGAACAAACTAGTTAGTTATGGCAGAATTTCCCAGGAAGTCACACGGACTCCTGCAATGTCAAATCAGGGAGTCCGGACAGTAAATCAGGAGGGGGGGGAGTTAAATTTTTGGGTTCGAACCTTTTCCAGACTCCCGGTTAATTCGCACCCTGTTCCATTGTTGTTGAATTTTGATTAAAGGTGCCATAAAGCAGCATCGGATTATCTGCAATTTTAAGAATGCTAGAGTAACATGCACCTTTGTGTAGTAATAGGAGCTACATTACCTTATAGCCAAACGCGTATTAGTCTTTGTGCCAATATCACTGCCTGGTTACCTAAGAAATGTCTAATTGCAAATCCGCAGTCCAGCGAAGAATAGTTGATGACTTTTAACAGTTTCGAAACCGCATTACTTCGAAACGGGCTGTGATACAGATTTGAGTAGTCCACACGGACATTTTCGCACGCATTTTTGCCAAAAACGCACTGCCGCATGCATTTCGTTTGGCTCTCCGCTACGTCCGCTAGCGAAACAGTTACGTAACTTGTTATACGAACACCGATGTAAATGAACGGGAATCTCACATGACGAATCCTCACAACGCTTGTGCATAATAAGTAGGCTGGTGTGGGGGCCAATGCTATGTTTGTGATGGATTGCCTGGATTACCACAGCCACAGGACTAAACATGGGAAAGCCAGATGTGGGATTTTACATATTTATTGGTCAATCAAGTACACCCAAATCACCGAATTGGTCTTATTTATTGGTGCCCAATACCGGAGAATACACCCATGAGATATCATCTACTAGTACTAGTCAAGGCATATAAGCATCCTGGTAAACAACTCTGCTTAACAGTGACCCATAGGCATACAACGCTTTAATCCACAAATTGCCTCTCGGCAACCAATTTAGCTGCTGGCCAGATTAGCCAGTCGTTAGACATTTCTCAATTAGCTAGTTGATATTCGGACAAACTTAATTAACGCGTTTGACTTATAATAATTATTAAATACAGAATGGTTGCCAGTTATTTAGCATCGTCAACTTTGTATATCAATGGGTCCTATTAGCTAACAGCGTTTACTAAGGATGTATATATTTTTATCGTTATTTAGGAAAACTGGTCTACGTAATTGTTTGTCTACTGTAGTGGCTCTCTTCGTTTGTTTTTACATGATTACTAGTGAGAAAAAGAGGAAACCATCTGAAGAATGATAAATAAAAGAAAGAAAGAATAAAAACGGGGCATAATGAAGTTGGGGTGTCTTCTTACCCAAGTATTGAATACACACAAAATTGGATGGCCTCTGTAGTGTTCTGTGGGTTTGTTTATAAACCATTAAAAACCTATAAAGGATTTTACGCCAGCTATGGTTGCCATAATAACTAAATGCCGTCTATAGTCATTAAAAGGACGAAGAGTTTATTTATAAATAATAAATTCTTCGTCTTATGACTATTAGAGATTTATTATTTATCAATACCCGCTCGTAAATCCTTTGACATCCCTGACTTGCCTATGCAATATGCCTTATTATGTTAACAAATTTTTACGTATATTTACCATTTCCAACACAATCATGCTATGTTCACAAGCTCGATTGTCATACGCTTTTGTTCAAAACTGGATGGGAGTTTACTGTGTTTTAAGGCCGCTTATGACTTAGTTTTTTGACTTAATCGATTCGGTTTGGTACAAACTCCCTTCCTGTGCCCTCTCCCACCATTCCTTATAAATAGACACATCTGGAATACAACCTTAGACTTAGCATGGTGGTGACCGTAACCGACCTTCAAAAGACTGCAGTTATGTTGCGTGACCGCCGCGAAAAACCAGCGGATCAGCTCCGGGCCAGGAATGCCCTTGCCAAAGACGGCCGGCCCGGTTCCTACTCTACGCGCGCCACGTCTTTCTTTCTCTTCTGCTCCTCTCTTATCTCTTCTCTCTCTCCTCTTCTGCGCTCTCTTTCTCTCTCTCTCTCTCTCTCTCTCTTCTCTCTCTCTCCTCTCTCTGCTCCCTCTGCGCCCGCTGTCTCTCTCTACTCTCTTCTCTCTCTTCTCTCTTCTCTCTTCTTCTCTTCTCTCTCTCTCTCTTCTCTCTCTCTCTCTTCTTCTCTCTTCTCTCTCCCTCGCGCGCCCTTCTCTCTCTTTCTCTTCTCTCTCTCCCTCCGCGGCGACTCTCTCGCTCTCTATTCTCTCTCCCTCTGGGACGCTGTTTCTCTCTCTTTTTCCTTCGCGCCGCTCTCTCTCTCTCTCTCTTCTCTCTCTTCTCTCTCTCTCTCTCTCTCTCTTCTCCCCTCTCTCTCTTCTCTCTCTCTCTCTCGCTCGCTCGCCGTCTCTCTCTCTCGTGGTTCTCTCTGTTGCTTCTCTTTCTTCGTCTCTCGTTTGTGGGGAGGGTAGTAGAGTAAGAGGAGTGGGTTTGGTGGATGATGAAGGGTTAGGGTATGGGTGAAGAGGATTAAGATCTTTGCTAATATGTGGCGCGTGTGTGTGTGTGCGTGCGTGTGTGCCGGTGCGTGCATGCGTGCTTGTGTGCGTGCAAGTGTGTATGTGTGTTTGTGTGTCTGTGTGCGTGAGCGTGCGTGCGTGTGTACAGTCACGTCTGCTGCTCAAGATTTGAATTCTGTACTGGCTTTCTAACCCATGCGAGCATTTTGCCTGGGGACCACTAATGATAACGGATTATCATCTTTGTTTACGTGTAACTGGTCCAACTGGATCAGTGTAAAATTTTGCGCGCAACAAAACTGAGTCAGCTCTTCCGACTTTTACTTTCGTTCGAATCTTGATTAGCGAATAGATTCTGTTGTTAATCGGAATTCAATGGAAAGTAAAAGTTGGCTGACTCAGATTCCATGCTCAGAATACATGCGAGTAAGATCGTGTGAATTTTGTGGCTTGCATGCCTGAATTAGGTTTCCTAATTCCCATGATTTTCAACGAACCTTACATCGAAGTAAAAAAAATCTCGTGGCCTAGTAAAGAGATCTAGCTAAGCATTGCACCAAGAGCTAATAATACCTTATATTTATTATGTGTATTATTAGCATCTGATTACATTTTGGTTTCATTAGACCTTTCGGAGGTTACTGCATGGTTTGTATCAAGAGCTAACAAATACCTATTAGGCATAATAGGTCTTGTTTGTATATATATGAAAGCTGCGGACAGAGCAGCAGTAGCAGGAAACACGTAAGGAAACGCCGGCGGCATACGTGCTTGTCACCGCCGTGACTCGCTGCTTGCTCTTACTGCTAGTTGGCCGCTCCACTTGGTAAAGAAACTGTTTTTAAAATTAATTCATATCATGAATGAAAAAAAATCATGTAGATTTTCTGCTTGAGGCGGACGTCATAAATAATATATATATATATATTGACGTAGGCCCTACAGCAGCGACATACTTTAGGCGCGCGTCCGAAAATGATTCATGATGCCTCATAAAAAAGCAATCGAGGTTTAGATCGATCGATCGGCCGATCCTCGCGGTAGGAACTCGTCGTTACTAAAGCCCGGTTTTTCATCGCTCCCGTTAAACCGGACTTCCGTTAATTTCGCACCCTGCGTGTGTAAGAGAGTGTGTGTACGCGGGTGAGACGAGCACCGTGTGTACGCGGGTGAGACGAGCACCGTGTGTACGCGGGTGAGACGAGCACCGTGTGTAGAGACGTGCAGAAATAGTTACGTTTGTAGAGAAGTTTTTGTCGGGACGTAGTCCTGAGCCGGCAGCGTGTAAATGCGTAAAGTATGCACACGTATTTAGGCGTGCGGACGGATGTGTGGTTGGCGTGTAAGTAAGAGCGTGTAGGCGGGCAGCACCTAGCTGGGCTGGGATGTGAGCACCGTGGTGTGCGTGCGTGCGTGCGTGCGTGTGTGTGTGTGGAGAGAAAGGTGAATTGCCTAGCGTCTCTTGTTTAACTAATGGCTGAGTACGTCTGCTAGATTGTCGCAGCCGACAGACAGACAGACAGATCGTGCATGCATGCATTCATGCACGCGCTCTTGCAGCAGCTGCTTAGGCCGACCACCACCAGCACAGGACAGTACAAGATCAATTGAATAGTGACGGCATTACGCTTGCACTGT